CACACACACACACCCTCCCTCTCTGGAGTCAATGCAGTATTCTGAGGCGGGAGACAGCTCGGCCCATGTTCGCTGTGGCAGAGACTGGCATCAAGCCTGTTGCTTAGTAACCAGCACCGTGGATGCTGGCACTGTTGTCCTCTCTCCATAGAAACGGAGGGAGGATTCTGAGACCACTATTGTTACTCTGTCGAGTAAAGACACACAAACTCCCCCACACATCTTTCTCTCTTATTCAGCAAACAAACAGCCAGAAAGTCAAAGCACACAAGGTAGGCGAATGAGCCACACACACACATGCTGTGAGTTTTGCTTTGCTGCACACTGAAAAACTTTGATGGAACTTTCCTTGGCTCCTGCCACAGAGTTTTTTCTAGCTAAATTGGGCCACTGGAATGCTCACTTCTCTTCTCGTTTTTGTGTGTTTTCTCGGCACACAGCTCCACAGGCGGATCTACCAGATGCAGGTGACCGTCCCGGCAACAGGCTTCAACAGCTTCAACTACTCCTTCTCCTACCTCTGTCTCCCCGACGACAAGAACATCTGCATCATCGATGACATCATCCGTGCCATGGAGGAGATCCAGTCAGCTCGCACCTCTAACCGCTCGGCCCCGATCCTGCGGTATCCCATCACCCAGCTGGTGGACGGACGGCAGGCGTACATCGGCCACCAGCTTGGTGGCGTGCAGGGCTGGGGCCCCAGCGGAGCTGTGCGTGGTCCGGGGACAGGAGCCAAGGGAGAAGGTGTACGTTCAGCCAGGGCACTGCAGCTCACCTACTACCTCCAAGCCCGCGGCGGCCTGATGGACCGGGTGGCCAGCCAGTGGGAAAAGGCCTTCTGTGCTGAGCTACAGCACTTTGCGGCCTTGCACCCAAAGTTGGGGCTGTACCCTTCCACTTCCTCTTCTCTGAGGACGGACTTCCAGTTCTCTTCGATACTGGCACGCCGCCCCCTGTTGGCCAGCTTGGGGGTGTGCAGTGTGCTGGCTGTCCTCTGCTGCTCTATGAGGGACTGTGTGAGGTCTAAACCCTGGTTGGGACTGCTGGCTCTGCTGTCCATCACACTGTCAGGCCTCACTGCTGCTGGAATACTCAACCTGACCGGGGCCACCTACAACTCTACGTACCTGGGCATCCCTTTCGTCATGCTTGGTAGGTTTAGAACTAATACTTTTGATATATGATATATTATACCTTTTGAGTCTTTATAACTCTGTATGTCCATGTCTTCATCCTCTATCTGTTTGGAACTAGCCTTTAAAAAATTTTGGATTCACACTTTTTGAGAACATAGGGTGGTTGAACGCAGGGAGTCAAAAACAATGAATAAAAGAAATCAAAGAAGTGAAGGTAACACATGACAGGTGGGAGCCACGTTGAACATTGCCTCTGCTTTTATATCACAGACTGTGTTCGCCGTCTGCTTTTTCAGTACCTCTGATGGGTCTTGCAGATGCCAGCCTCAGGCTGAAAGCCATTTCAAAGTAGACAGATCATCAAAATGACTGACAAGTGGTTGGGCATGAACTTGACTTACTGAGGGGGAGGATGATGGTACCTACAAGACATTTTGTGACTGAGGGCAGAAACTTAATCCAAAGGCTTCGAAAAGTAAGTTGTTAAATTAGGGTTCGTGAACTTGAGTCTGGAACAAATCTGAAGCTGGAACCAGAAGGTCTCACACTATTTTACATTTATAAGAGTCCAAATTGACTTTGAGACTATTTGAATGAAAGGACACTTTAAAGGGGTCAGTATGCTTTAAATTAAGTGCTTGTTGGATTGTTAAAGAGCGTCTGAGAACCCACCGCCCTCCCACACACTTCCAGCGTTGGGATTGTGGGGCGCAACTCCCACAGTCTAACATTCTTTGTAATGTTTTTAAACCAGCACTCCCACTTCATACCACTTCACTGACCAGATGTTCTGAGGTGAGAAAGTATAAGGCAGGACTTGAACTTCTCTCTCAAACTGTCTTCTTTTTCTTCACACAACTGCTCCTTCACAAGTAAAGCAATTACGTCTCTTATTTGTTGTACAAATCAGTGCAACACCACAAACATAACTGAGGACAAGCTGTCTGCCGGTACGCTTATTTCCAGAAGTGGCTAGGGTGACACATCGTATGGACCGTTAACCGTACCAATCCGACTTTTTCTCACCCGGTACCTGCCAATAAGACTGCTCTTTTTTTTCCTACATTTAAATTATGCACTGTGTACCTCACTGTGTGAAATTCAGTGGATTCATTTTTATGTAAGGCAACAGGCCAGGGATTGCTGTGGCACCAAAAGCTGAGTCAGTGGCCAAGTGTGACTCAATGGATGTAAATTATAGCAGAAAAACGGAATTTTATAAAGCGATGAAGATCGATCACACCATGGCTTTAATAAGGTCAGTATCCCTCATCCATACGGGATGCAGGCTTCACCAGACTTTGTTTGGAGCGTTAACCCTAATGCGTAGAAATATTGTAAACTTGACGTCACACTCATGACCGAAGTCCTCAAGGGGCCAGCCCGCAAATCTGGAGGGTGGACATCTTCAGTTTATTAGAGGAAATAAAATAGCTTAATGAGAAAGGAATTCTTCTACTGACTGCAGCTGTGCTATAGAGGGACTGATACACTTGAATCTTGGTTAACATAAGGCAAAAATAATTGTTTTTTTATTCTCAAATAACTTGTCAAAAATCAGCTTACAGCGGGTTAATAAACCATCTCTGCCCGTGAAGCCACAGTGATTGCTTTAGCGGTTCAGCGGGACTGCGTCTGCAAATTATGCAGCAGCTTGCATGTTTAGTTTATTTTTTGTAGAGTGATAAAATGAAGACAGCAAACAGAAAGAAAATACGTTTAAATACACTGAATACGAATTTAACTAACTATAAGCTTAATGAAAGTGCTTGTCATATGTGAAGGCGTTGCTGTTTATCTTCACTGCACGCATACTAAATACTGTAGGATGTGCTGACCACTCATGCACACATGTAGTCTATACCATAATTACTCTGTAATGTGGAGGAGGAAAGGCTGCTGTTAGGCTTAAAATAACTGTAGAGAGAGCAGAAGAGACAGGGGAATAGAGACGGAGAGGGGGCTCGATGAAATATCACTCCAAATGGGGGTCGAGAGAAGGATTCTCTCAGCAGAAAATGAAGTTAAACTGTAGTTAGAGGGAAGGAAGGCAGGCAGGGAGGATTTTTCAGAATCAAGTGGGCTGACAGAAAAAGGTGGGAGGAAGTGTGAGGAGAAAAAAAGAAGCATGTGAGTACACAGTCGAGAAAGAAAGAGCATGAAAGGGAGGAAGAGGGAGAAATATGTTTTCTTTTATTGTGGATTTGTGACAACATTTTGCACCCTGTGTTTTCACATAAGGCTCATAAACTTCCGAGAGACGAAAGTGAGGTACTGATGGGGGAAGTAACAATAAATATCCTCACATTTACTCATTTTTGACAAGAGGTGTGTTTCTGTTCAAAGGGAGGTAAATTGATGATGATGATGATGTTGGTTTATTTTATTTAGGACACATATCAGTCATTTGTGCATTCACTTACTCATAACATTCTCCATTTTCAAACATTTTTAAATAATGGAGATCCAGGTTTTTGTGGCATTGAGCCTCAAAAACGTTTTAAGCACTGACAAAAATGTGTCAAAATTGTCCAGTAGAGAGAACTGGCATAAAAAACATTGCCAGATTTGTAGTCCGGTTAATATTCTGGTTATTTTTTAAATACTTCTAGCGTCTCTAATTTAATAATTTTCAGCTTTTCTCTGTTTCTCTCTCTCTCTCAAGTTTAATATTGTGGGTTGTGGGACTGTTTTTCAGACAAAACAAGCATTTTTCACTATTCCTTCTTAACATTTTCTGATGCCAAAACAGATCATTTAAATCATAATATTCTAGTTCCTTTACAACTTTTCAAATGAACTATATATACTTCAGAAGTTTGCTTTCTTAGGTTATTTTTTTCTATTTTCATATTTTAAAAAAATGTTTTGGTATTGGTATTGAAAGAGGTATCACCGGGATTACAAACTATACACAGAAACTGTATCCTTGTGTTTGCATGTCTGCATGTTTGTGTGTGTGAATATGAGCTGCAGCCACTCTTGCCACAACCAGGACTTCCAACTGAGAGTTTTCAATAACTGAAATCCTGTTTATGACACAACAACAATATCAAGAGACTGAAAGTGTTCTGGCAAAAGGACACATCCTTATCTTATGGGTAATTTCTCGAGTATTTGTACCCGACTGTGCTTGTCTGTGTGGGTGTTTGTCCATGAGTGCACATTAGCCGGACTCAAGCTCTGGTAAATATCAAAATCCAAACCAAGTGCTCTCTTTTGGCTCTCATCTTCTCTCTGCAACATTAACCCTCCACCTCTTTCCCTGTCATCCACTGTCTAATTCCCTGTCTCTCAAACACACACACACACACACACACACACACACAACACACACACACACACAACAAACCACCACCACACACACACACACATCCCAGATCTGCAGACTTTCTCAGTTGCACCCACGCCTTAAGTGTCGGTACGTTATGCCTCTACTAAGGTGTTAAGTGTTTCGCCATGGTGAGGTCACTGGAGAGAGAGAGGAAGGGGGTAATGTGTGCCAGTGGTGACTCACTGGTGCCATGGTAACCACTGAAGAGAAAACCATTAAAAACCATCTGCTGCACACATACAAACATGTATGTGCATGCACATGAGATTGGACTGGTGGTGCACGCATTCACCTTAAATGGACATTGATTTTTATTATTGAATCAAAAATGCATTAAACCTTATTTTTTACAAGGTATTGCTGATGTTTAAAGCTATACATCTGTCTTATTATACTAAATAACGTTCTATTCTCAAAATATTTGCATTTACCTATTATTTGTATTTAAAACTAGGTACAAGTTAAATTCCCATGTCTTGCTGCTGCTGCAATGTTACAATTTTGCAACTAGGATTGTTAAAGTCACAAGAAAACTGCATATTCGTGGCGTGGCACATCAATCATTTCACATATTTCCAGTTCAGACAAGATTGAGGTGTGACATTACGCAGAGAGGACTGCTCAAAAGCAGGCAGGCTGAGTTATTACACTTCCTTATGCAACGTCGTGATTCCACAAAATGAATAAATTGAAGCCAAGTGTGGAGCAGTCAAAGCATTCTAGGGAAAGGATGATAAGAAATGAACTAGTTTTTATGTCATTGTCTTTTACAGGATATCTATTTTTTCCATCTTAGTTACACAACACCAATACCTGAGTTTTGTATCTGTGAAGGTGGAAGTTTAAGTTAGCCTAGCTTAGCTTAAAGGGGACATATTATGACTCCTTTAAGTTCTGTATGATCTGTCACAGCTTCTCTCTAAAGTAGGGAAATATGTTATTAAAACCTCCTCAAAGACCCTCTAACAAAACTACAAATTGTAATTTAAAGCTGCATTCATT